CACAAACTCCACAGGGTTCTATTTTCTGTTGGAAATTGCTTTGTTTTGATGTTAATGATGCAAACAGAGACTCACTGGTCCTGGTTTTCCCGCAGTTCTCTCTTGGCCTTGTCCAGGAGTTGCTGTAATTGTGTGTTTTTGTTGAACGCCTGCTCCAGTTCAGTCTTCATATTGCTGTCAGTCACTAAGATCTGCGGACCGTATGAAGCACAAAACCCCAATGAGTTTTAACAATTAATGTAGTGATCCGGCTTTGAAACAAATAAAGCTCTACTGACAGCATGTTGTTGATTAGCAAAGAAAATTCACACTTACACTAATGCATTTACAACTGAAGTCTATGGGTTTAAAAGCAGAAACGGAAGCAGAAGCTCATATTTTCATCAAACCACTTGTGTTAAAATGTGTGTCTTATGATCTTTTAAGTTATTTAATAAATCATCCTTGTAGTGGCAGGGCTACTGTTCAAGGCAGCAGAACAGGCTTCACATTACCGACGTAAATCCTGTAAAAAATATCTTGTATGCATTATATGAAATTTACAGGGTTTACTGACTTAACATGGTTGTGTCAGGAATTAAAAGACTGAATAGCTTTCCACAGACAAGATTAGTAAGTGATTTTATCACACAGTGACATGTCAACATGTAGTCAACTGGAATAAAATAAAATAAAATAAATTAACATTTTTAAAAAGGATTTTTGCATGTTTTCACAAACTGGGGGACAAGTGGAAATGGTTTTCTGTTTTGAAACCAGAATCAACATGATAAATAAATACATATTTTTAATATTTATTCATTTATTTAAATAAGTACATTTAATAATTGCTTAATGCTACCTCCAGCAATAAACAAAGAATTGCCTGAATTAAGCATAAGATCACATCTAGAGGACGTGAAAAATTAAGAGTTGAACTACTGTGCTGGAACCATATAAGGATTTGTTTCTATTTTTATTCATTAAACAAAAAGTCTTTCAATTTGCCACCAATGGGCCTTATAAAACCAGAACACATGTAGCTTTGTTCATATAAGTTGCAAACATGCATATGAGTCATACAAGGAGGATGATCGGTGTCATCTTGGGGCTATGCATTCATCTTACAGCAGCAATTTTGCTTCAAATGTCCCCTCAGGAATCACTACATCCTGTCTTAGCCATCGTAGCTACACTACACTAGTTATTCTTACTGTCAATCACATGATTAGTTTCTGAGTGACTCCTGCCCTGATACAGATACGCCTTAAATTAATTATCTTATAACTGCACATGGCTGATCTTAATTTAATGAGGAAACATAAAACTAATTATTAGATCTGAAACATACACACACTGCCAGCAGGCAGCTATCTGCTGCTCAAATAACCCAGTCCTCTAGGATATCCCATCAGACCATTCAGCTGCTGTTGCCATCATTATAATGACCACACATGGCTACTACCAGGTCATTTGAACTGACCTCTTGTGTCGCAGGATCTAAAGTTACTTCTTGAATAAAAAAGAACACATTAAAGTACTATTAAAAGTATGAAGTAAACTTCTAGAACCAATGTAAATCAAAACAATTAGACGTGTAGATAATTATTAGAAAGAATACAACCTAACAGTAACAGCATCACATCAGCTCAGCTAATCATCATACACTAGTGTTCAAAAGATTTTTTTTGTCTGTTTTTGAAAAAAAAGTCTCTTTTGCTCACCGAGGCTGCACTTATTTGATCAAAAATACAGTAAAAACAGTAATACTGTAAAATATTATTACAAATTAAAATAACTGTCTTCTATTTGAATATATTTTTAAATATAATTTATTCCTGCGATGGCAAGGCTGAATTTTCTGCATCATTACTCCAGTCTTCAGTGTCACATGATCCTTCTGAAATAATTTTATTATGCTTATTTGGTGCTCAAAAGTTTTTTTATTACCATACATTTTGGAAACAGCTGTGCAGCTTAAGATTTTTGTGGAAATTGTGATACATTTTTTCTTTTCAGGACTAATTTTCAGCATTTATTTGAGATAGAAATCTTTTATAACATTAAAAATGTTAATATGTTAACAGTAATAGATGTCTTTACTGTCCAAACTTTTTAACAGTAATCACAGTCTAAACACTGTCAAACATCTCCAAGTCCCTGACAAGGTTTACTCAACGCTAATGAGCTTAATTAACAACAGTCACAACGTCTCCCAGCAATACTGCCCACAACAACAACAGAGCTTATCATGCATGGACGAGCACTGAGTGGTATATGACAGTGTAAGAGGCCGTACAACGAGTGCACATTAAAACCATTAACCCAAACAGACATGCTGAGGGCCCCAGGTTGAGGGGAAACCCTCCCTCACAGGCTTCCATTTCCAGTGTAACTTAATTATTGATGGAGCCACACAGCCTTAATCAGCTTTCCTTGTTGAGACGACGGTTGCCAAGAGACCGCAGGAGGATATTTCACATGCAGGAAGCTTATGCAAACACGTAGGCTAACAATATTATTATACAGACACGCATGGCCATGCATGTGTTTACGTACATGAAGATAAAGAAACTCCGTATTTAAAAAGATATTTCCCACAAAATGAAAATTATTTACATACTTTCTTTTTTTTCTAAAGCTGAATGATTTTCATTCTTCTCATGAAGACACAAAAGGTGCTTTTCTTTCAGTCAACATCCTTGCCACTTTTCAATTTAATGAAAGTGAATGAGGACTGGGGCTGTTAAGCTCCAAAAAGGACTTAAAAGCTTTATAAAAAAATATTAAGTGATCATTGATGTCTTCTGTAGTCATATAATAGCTTTGTGTGAGCAATGAACATTAAGTAACAGAATATAAGTTGTTGTTCATTGATAATTGTCCATTCTGGTGTGCTATGAGAACCGAATCGGTCCAATTCATGAACGAATTAATGAACGAACTGATTTTGTGACCTAGATCAATGTTCACCGAAAAGATCCGATTCAAAAGCATGATTCGTTAACAAATTAGACAATCGACATCTCTCAGCAACAACATTCTAGGAAAAACAAGTGAATAGCCTGAAATTTCTATCAAAGTACTTCAGAAAACTGAAATATAGCATGTAAGTCATATGGACCACTTTCATGGTGTGTTTTTTGTCATTTTGGAGCTTGACAGGCCAAGTTAATATTTAAACTGAATAAATTAGAGCAAAATTCTAATTAATAATTAAAATTGTATTACATTGGCCAGGATTTTCCTCAAAAAGTCACCTTTTGTGTTCCATGAAACAAAGAAATTCATACGAGTTTGTAACAACATGAGGATGAGTAAATGAAAAACAGAATTTCATTTTTGGTGAACTGCCCCTTTAAATAAAGCCTCTTATTAGCTGACCTACTCTCTTTAAAATACATGATTATAATGATTATCGTCCATTTTAAACTCTTTTTTACAAGCACGCTCATTTCTTCACAAAGATACAGCCTTGTCGCTGTTATCTCCTCTCACGGTCTCGAAATATCTTTCTCTGTTACATTCTCTCTTTCAAAACACGCTCACAATCATGCAAAACTGGGACCGATACGCAAACTATGGGCACACACACAC